CCTCGCTCCCTCCCCTCCTCGCTCCCTCCCCTCCTCGCTCCCTCCCCTCCTCGCTCCCTCCCCTCCTCGCTCCCTCCCCTCCTCGCTCCCTCCCCTCCTCGCTCCCTCCCCTCCTCGCTCCCTCCCCTCCTCGCTCCCTCCCCTCCTCGCTCCCTCCCTCCTCGCTCCCTCCCTCCTCGCTCCCTCCCTCCTCGCTCCCTCCCTCCTCGCTCCCTCCCTCCCCTCCTCGCTCCCTCCCTCCTCGCTCCCTCCCTCCTCGCTCCCTCCCTCCCTCCCTCGCTCCCTTCCTCGCTCCCTCCCTCCCTTCTCTCCTTCGCTATTACCCCCACCCCCACTTTCCGCCTCTCGTCCCGCTGTACTTACTGCCTCTTTCCCGTCATGCCACCCCCTTCCCTGCAGGCCAACTCGGAGGTGTCTGCGCTGACTTTTGAGTCGACTCAAAAGTCACCTCGTCCCTCTGCACTTTCTGCCTCTTTCCCGTCATGCCTCCGAACTCCCTCTGTCATGCCACCCCCTTTCCTGCAGGCCAACTCGGAGGTGTCTGCGCTGCTGGGTCGTATCCCCTCTGCCGTCGGGTACCAGCCGACGCTGGCCACGGATTTGGGAGGGCTGCAGGAGCGAATTACCACCACCAAGAAGGGCTCTATCACGTCAGTGCAGGCCATCTACGTGCCCGCTGACGACTTGACGGATCCGGCTCCTGCTACCACGTTCGCGCATTTGGACGCTACAACTGTGCTGTCCCGTCAGGTGAGGGTTACCTCCTGGCTGTCTGTCAGGTGTTTGCTGAAAAAGCGGCTCAAAATGAGGCCCAGGAAGGGCTATATCACGCGAGTGCAGGAGCGAATCACGACCACCAAGAAAACCCCAATAAGGTCGGTGCAGGCCATCTACGTGCCTGCTGACGACTTGACTGACCCCGCCCCTGCCACCACCTTCGCGCATTTGGACGCTACCACTGTGCTGTCCCGTTAGGTGAGGTTATCACCAGGCTGTGTCTGGCCCAGGTGAGTGGGTTTCCGCTGATAAAGCGGCTCGAAAAGAGGCCCAAAAAGGGTTCCTGCTGTCTCGTCAGGTGAGTTAGTGTGTGCTGTAAACCTCTTGTGGGTGGGTTGGTGGGTAAGTGGTTGTGGCTGGTACTACAGTTACGCCAATCCATTCATGCCGTGAGAATCTCTACCCGATCTCCAAGTAGGTTATCTGCCCAGCCCGGCTGTGGACCCTATGGACGCCTCCTGCGTGCTCTCCCCGGCCATCCTGGGCTTGGAGCACTCAATTTTCTGTCCTCTTCCTTTGTCCCCGTCTCCTCGCCTTGTCCCTGCTTCTCTCCATGTCCACCTCTCCTTGTCGCCCCATCAGATTTCCGAGCTGGGTATATATCCCGCTGCGGATCCCCTGGTTTCCTCATCGCGCATGCTCTCCCCGTCCATCCTGGGCCTGGAGCACTGAGTATTTCTTCCTTGTCCCCCTCCTCCCTATCTCCCTACCTCCCTACCTCCCACCCACTCCCCCACCCAATTACTCTGCAGATCTCCGAGCTGGGTATCTACCCGGCTGTGGACCCTCTGGATTCTTCCTCGCGCATGCTCTCGCCGTCCATCCTGGGCCTGGAGCACTACAACTGCGCACGTGGCGTGCAGAAGGTGCTTCAGGACTACAAGAACCTGCAGGTGAGACCGCTTTCGTGCTATGAGTAGGGCATGTGGCGGGGTTGGAAGCGGTTGGAAGGGGTCCCTCCACCACCTCCTCTTGGCGTGCAGAAGGTGCTTCAGGACTACAAGAGCCTGCAGGTGAGACGATTGGGGCTGCTGGGGCTTGTTGCGTAGAGGAGGGGTTGCCTTTGTCTGCACCTAGTGGTTGTTATGGAATGAAGTGGTTGGAAGGGGTTGGAAAGGGTTGGAAGATCCTGTGATTATCTGAGCCAGCCCTCCTGCATCAATCCTCATCTCCCACCCTATAGCGCCTTTCCGTTTCAGAGCATCATTGCTTTTCTGGCCCGTGCCGCTCTCAACGCCCCTTAATCTCCTCAATTCGGTTGCACTCCTCCGCCCCTTTCTATTTCAGGATATCATTGCTATTCTGGGAATGGACGAGCTTAGTGAGGATGACAAGCTGGTGGTGGCCCGTGCTCGCAAGATTCAGCGTTTCCTCAGCCAGCCCTTCCACGTGGCTGAGGTCTTCACTGGCTCACCAGGCAAATACGTTGACGTCAAGGAGAGCATCACCAGCTTCCAGGTGAGGTCGCGAGTTCGAATCCTGCTGCTGACACTTTAGCTGCACAGTCATGTGGGTATGTCTAGCCCTTCCATGTGGCCGAGGTGTTCACTGGCTCACCAAGCAAATACGTCGACGTCAAGGAGAGCATCACCAGCTTCTAGGTGAGGTCGCGAGTTCGAATCCTGCTGCTGTCACTTAAGCTGCACAGTCATGTGGGTATGTCTAGCCCTTCCATGTGGCCGAGGTGTTCACTGGCTCACCAAGCAAATACGTTGACGTCAAGGAGAGCATCACCAGCTTCCAGGTGTGTGGTTCTGGAAATCTCAAGTTCGAATCCTGCTGCTGTCACTTAATTGTATTTTGCCGCTGTTAGCCACGCATCATGCATCATGCCAGGCAGAAAAGCTCATGCCATGCATGGAGGCGGTGGTGGCTAAGTCAGACAAGCCCAGTCCACTGCCCTGCCCTTAGTCCGCTTCGTCTCATGCCATGCCACCACTTTCACTTTCCTCTCAAACACGCATCTTCTCCCCTAACCCCTTACCAGGGAGTGTTGGACGGCAAGTACGATGATCTGCCAGAGCAGGCGTTCTACATGGTGGGAGGCATCGAGGAGGTGGTGGCCAAGGCTGAGAAGCTTGCCAAGGAGCTCAGCTCCTAGGCTGCTGCTGCTTGATGCTGGCTGATGCTGGCTGCCTGTGGTGATTCCAGTGGTGCTGCTAATTGTTTTCGAAATGAGATTAGTACAGTTTCGTACAGGTTACAGGAGCTACGGTGCAGGTGTTTTGGAGGTACAGGATTGTTTCAATTCTTTTCCCAGGATCAAAGCAAGGTAGTCGAATTGAAAGCTGGTTACTTTTGCTGTTGTTGCATGCTATTTGTACGCCATCATAAATGCTGGTGGAGGGTTTAAGTCGTACTATGCCATACATGCTCTTTCTAACAGCACATGTGATAGAGCAATACTGGTGGAGCACACTACGGAATATTTTGCCTCTAATTCACCATGAACAGTTTGACAACATATGGCCATCCACGTAAGCTGCTATATATTGTAATTTTTAAAAGTGTAACACTTTTTCAAATTTCGTATTGTGAAAGCGAGGACGTGGCCAGCAAAGCAAAGGTAGCTGCTCGACACTACTCACCCCTCTTTTGCCTACAAAAGAGGGACGTGGGTTCAGTCGCCTTCACCCACGTTCTTCATTTCCAACTTTTCTAGTTTACTTTCCCACCACCCACCCCATTGTGTATCATTTATGAACGAGAACGTTGTATTACCCACTTGGAATGAAGCACGCTGCCTTTGCAAGATGGACTAAGCAAGCTTTCACAATCCTCCTACCATACTCTCTTCTTGCTGCCACACACCCACTCTCTTTCACTCTCTCTAAAATCAGTGCCACATAAATTTCTTCAGCATTTTCCCTCCGTTCATCCTCTTCACCGCACTTGGAGAGGGGAAGCTGTCAAGCTGAAGAGATATTGTGCATAGGAAATCCTGTTAGTGCAATCTGCAGGACCGGTTTGTATGGGTTCAGAGTTGTACAGAGGGGCTGGGCCGCAGCAGTGGGCTACGGTTGGTGGTGTGGTGTGGCTCACCATACAGGGAAGAAGTCTTAAATAGTGATTAACCAGGAGAGGAGATGTGCGAAACTAGGCAGAAGCCAGCCAGTAATTTCTCTCCAAAGATTGCATGCCTCCAGGAATCAGCTGCGCTGCCTGGGATAGTAGGGTCTGCTGGTGTGTGTTACCCTCATACTGACTGCTAGAGTGTGTGCGTCAAGTTTTTCCAGTGCTACTGCCAGCAACCTCCAGGTGGTATGGGTATGGGCTTGAGTACTCTGGGGCAGCAGAGGCGTGCTCAGTGTGAGACTTGGTAAAGACAAGGTATTACTAGTACCTCCTGAAAACTGTTTACGGTAGTTTGAAACAAATGTTGGGAGGGGATGACACGTTATAATATCCCAGGATTGGCAGATCCTCCATTGGAATATTCCCACCAATGTGTCTTTCCTAAGTGCTGCAGCCACGTATTGAACCTATGGCACCTATGTGCTGCTCGGTCATAACACCCCAGGATTGGCAGATCCACTTTCATTAAATAATCCCCAGCAATGTCTCAGTCGTTGCAACTTTGTGTATCTTCTACTTAGTCGCACTTGCGGCGGCACTTCTTGGCCTTTTTCTTGCACTTCTTGTACGTGTGCGTGTTTGTGCTCGTCGTCCTTGTTCTCGCGCTTGCACTCGCTGTACTCCTCGTTGCACTCCTTGTTCTTCTCCTCGCACTCCGACTTGCACGACAGCATGCGCGGCGACCACAGGAACCGCCTGCTCACGCGGTATAGCGCATTCACGAGACCTGGAAACGGGGAAGGCAAGAAGCGGGAGCGCAAGAAGCGGGAAGGTAAGAAACGATAATACTCAGCCAACAGTGTCTCGAATCCCTTCGAGAGTGAGGCAAGGCAGGGCGGAGGAGGAGGGGGCGTTTGACGTCTCTGACCGCATTGTAGTACCCAACGCACCAGGAGGCGATGCGTCGGTGGGAATGGCGGCCTCCGACAAGTCGTCGTCGGCGTCGTCTTCCGCGTCGATCTCATTCGCGCGGCACTGCGGCGCAAACGCGAGCGATACGAGCAACGAGAGCGCGAGCAGGACGAAGAACAGCTTGGAGCGCCTCATGGTTGCGAGTTTTATATATTCTCAGCGATAAATTGGGGTGGTGCCTTGGATAGGAATAGTTCGTCAGGAAAACTCGCAACACTTCGGCGTTTTGAGCTGGACTATGTACGGTACCGATGCGTGCGTGCGAATCGAGAAGGGGAGATGGGAAGCGTGATACGGGTATGGCGTGGGATTGCTTGCTCTGGTAGTTCTGGAACGTGGGAAGCATGAGGTGAGGAGCAAAGTGGGATTCAGTTTCGATCATGGGTGGGGGGGAAAGGGGAGATGGGGATGCGATGTGACGAGAGGAAGCTGGAAGGGGTGCTTGCATTGAAACGAAATGCAAAAATCGAACCGCACAATGCGACCCATATGGCTTTTGCGCGACGCGGACCCATGTGCCAGATTTCTGCGATTTTTAGCCCGTTCGCTGATCTCGATAAAGAGTATTGTGCCATAACACTACATACAGGCTATACGAGCTATGGTTATGGAAGTGGTGGGCAAAAAGCGGTGTGTGAATTTTACCGGTGTTAACATGTGAATCCGCCAACAGAAGCACATACAATATTCATTGCTTTTTATTGTCCGTCAAGCCATTTACAAACCATTCTCCATTAGACAAGCACATCCTTTGACAGTCCACCAGCACGGCGTTTTGGTTTCCTCGCGTTCCCCTCCCTATCGTCCCCACTTGACACATAATTTTTGGTTGACCTTGCACCCCTCCGCTTCCTCTTATTCCGCAGTGTTACACCCATGGACAGTAAGACCATACCTGCAAACCACCCCAAGTACATCCACCGCTGGTCTTCGTGTATCCACACCCACACCCCTGCTGCCACCGCCCTTGAACCCCCACCACCAGTACCACCTGCAACGTAGCCATAGCCTTGTAAAAACCGCCTCCACTCATTCCCACGGTTCATACTCGCATGGTTACCGTGGTGACCGATTCCCAAAGTACCATTACCAAGCTCACCTGGATCCTCCCTACCCTCTCCCTCTCCTGGATTAACTTGCTCTTCCGCCTCCTCTCCCTCTCCTTTGCTGTCTCCTTCTCCTTCTCCATCCCCCGCCTCCCCATCCCCACCTTCATCCTCGTTTGTGGCTGAATCAGCATAGGCAACACTGTCTTCATCGGAAGGAATATTCCCCTCCTTCCCAGCACCACCTCGCACTCTTAATTTCCTAAACCGTTCTCCCTCTCTCGGTTCTCTCACCACTAGGAAACCCCTTTCCAGCCCTGCTCGTTCCTTCATTTCAGTCACATCCACAACATAGTCACCCTGCACTCTAATCCCCTTTCTAGCCCCTCCTTTCACAGTGCCCCCCTCTTTCCCACCCCCACTCACACTCCCACTTCCACCCTCAACCCCTTTCTCACTCACTCCCTCACTCCCTCCCTGACGCCCTCCCTCACCCTCTCCTTCGCTCTCTTTCCCACTCCCTCTCTCCCTAGCCCAGACATTGGCCCTCAATTCGCCCGTTACTGTAGGGGAGGCCCCACCCAAATCCATTATCCCCACATCCCTCTCCCACTCCACCAAACACCCCCTCTTCAACCTGTGAAACTCCCTTAAAGCCCGGTTCAGCACCGCCATACACTCTATCACGATAAAATCCCGCCGCCTCTCCTCGTACGTCTGGTTTCCGGGCAGCGCGGAAATTTCCGGCGGGTCGGGGAAATGCTGCCCGCAGGTGTTGACCATGTCTTGGCGATAGTAGGCCGATTTGTCCCATTGCCAATCTAATACCTTGAGCTCTAACCCGTAATGAATCATTCGTGGATCGACCCCTTTAGGAGGGTCGTAGCCTGGGTAAAGCATGGCGCTGTCTATCATAATGTGCTTTAGGCCCACCTGGGAGAGGGAAAGAAGGCGGAGGAGAGACAGTGGATATGAGAGGGACGGGATGAAGTGACGGCAAGGATAGGCCGGTTGGCCCAGGTAAAGCATTGCACTTTCTATCATGATGAGCTTTAAACCCACACAAGATGCCCATAGCGATGTCAGACTCTCGCTGATCCACCGCTGCCCGTGCATGTCCCCCATGGCGTTCACAGTGTAGTTCAAACCACACACAGAGATGTATGTAGTGATACTAAATGAGATTCCAGGACTCACATCAGATGACCCGAAGGAGTAGCCGTACATCTCGCTAATCCACCGCTGCCCGTGAACGTCCCCCGTGGCGTTGATGGTGTAGTGCTCCACGTCTGCCCGCACCTCCTCGCTCTTGGCGCTCCAGATGGGCGCCAGGCGCCTCAGGTCCTCCACGTGAATCACTATGTACCCGCCCACCTATGCGCGGTTGGGAGTGGTTGGGTGTGGTTGCATGCGGTTGGATGTGAAGGGAGAAAGTGAGGGGACAAGAGAGGAAATGGCACTCCTTTGGAGCTCCAGATGGGCGCCAGGCGCCACAGGTCCTCCACGTGAATCACTATGTACCCGCCCACCTATGCGCGGTTGGGAGTGGTTGGGTGTGGTTGCATGCGGTTGGATGTGAAGGGAGAAAGTGAGGGGACAAGAGAGGAAATGGCACTCCTTTGGAGCTCCAGATGGGCGCCAGGCGCCTCAGGTCCTCCACGTGAATCACAATGTACCTGCCCACCTGTGTGCAGGTGTGGTTGTGTACGGTTGGGTGCGGTTGGGTGCGGAGGGAGCAAGTGATCATTCAATCCTGTCTGTCATTCTACACTCCCTTGGCGCTCCAGATGGGCGCCACGCCAGGCGCTGCAAGTCATCCACGTGAATCACAATGTAGCGCCCCTACCCCCCACCCCTGTGCGTGGGTGTGTGGCTGGGTTGTGGGACAGAGAGAGAAAAGTAGGAGAACGAGAATGTGTGTGCGCGTGGTTGGGTGTGGGAAGAGGAGAGAAAGAGAGGGAAGAGGAGGGAAAGAGGAGGGAAGGAGGAGGGAAAGAGGAGGGAAGGAGGCGGGAAAGATGAGGGAAGGAGGAGGGAAGGAGGAGGGAAAGAGGAGGGAAGGAGGAGGGAAGGAGGACGGAAGGAGGAGGGAAAGAGGAGGGAAGGAGGATGGAAGGAGGAGGGAAGGACGAGGGAAAGAGGAGGGAAAGAGAAGGGAAAGAGGAGGGAAAGAGGAGGAGCTCACCTTGTCACAATACGTGGCGTTGTTCATGTGCAGCTCACCAAAGCTGTTGTCACACCCCTTGAGGTAGCTGGTGGGGCGGCGCGGGAGGGGGAAGAGAGAAGGAGCGTTAAGCGAGAAGTAAAAGAAGGAACCAGTGAGAGAGATGAGAAGTGGCGTTGTTCATGTGCAGCTCGCCGAAGCTGTTGTCACACCCCTTGAGGTACCTGGTAGGGGGATGGGGGAGGGGGAGAGAAGTGTAAAGCGAGGGGTAAAAGAAAGGAAACTCAGGAGCCTAGAGAGTAGTCATGAGGGGCCAAGAGGAGCAAAGAGGAGTTGGGAGGAGTCAAGAGGAGTCAAGAGGAGCCACAGGAGGAACGATTTTGCACAACGGATATTGCAGTGTGTCCCATTCGTCATGTAACATGGTTACCATCTCTCACCCGTAATTCGCTGAGACTGGGTGGCCTCGCTCCGCCCCCAGCTCCCAGGGCAGCACCGGCCTCCTTATAAGCTGATCCGCGTCCATTATAAGCACCCACTCGACGTCATTTGCGTCAGGACTGTTGTCCAGCCAATATTTCACCCCCACTGGCTTATTAATCGCAGGGTACCAGTCACCCGTTCTAGGGCCGCGGCTCCAATTAGGGACCACCATTGTCGGAGCAATATCTAGCCCTCTGTACCCCTTAAGCGCATCCTCGTTACAAGCCAGAAGCCGCACAAGCTTCCCTGGCTGGCCTGACCGTTTGAAGCTATAAGCCATCGCGACTGACTGCCAGTCCATGTAAGTGGAGCATTCGGCTGAAAAAACTGTGATTATACGCGGAGTTCCCTTAACATGAAACGGGCGCCAGGCGTTCGGATCCAGGCTCGGATCCACACGAACGTCCACCCCTAGGTTCGGCAAAGGCACGGGGACGGGTGGCCAATCGTCTAGCTCCAGTACCTCCATAGTAGAGGCGTCTCTAAAGGCTGGTGGTAGAACCGCGCTGGCGTTTTCCCGCCAAGATTTGAACCACCGTTCCAGCTTCTCAGGAGTGTCGGCCAGTGGTGTAGATTCCTCCTCCTCTTCTCCCCCCTCTGCTGAACTTTCTTCACCTCCCTCTTCCGCCTCCTTCCCGCCCCCATCCCCCTCCTGTTCTACCCTGTCTCCAGTGTTGACTTTGTCGTCTTCCGCCTCCTTCCTGTCTCCACCTGACTCCCCCTCCCCCTCCCCATCCTCCTCAGATACCTCCGCCGTTCTGCCCTCTGAAGCATTGTCAGGTTGATCCCTGACACCGTCACTGCTAGGCCCTTTTCTGTCACCTTCAACAGTACTAGCACCAGCAGCGACTGCACCACCGTTAGCAGCACCACCGGTAACACCACCATCAGCAGTACCGACCCTGCTGGAGGACAAAGTGGTGGTTGCTGATTGGCCGAAGGCCTGATTGAAGAGATTTCCGCGCAAAAATAGGAGGCTCCGCAATGTGGGTCCTGACGTGGCCGCCTTGGGTGATTGCAGATGGTTACCGGTGCTAACGGAATCCGGATCGTCGACAGACGAGGAGGATGAGGATGAGGGAGTATTTTCATGCAGATCCAGAACGTTCCGTAATGTCGGCCCCACAGGTGCATCTACATTGGTTGAACGGGGAACGATATTGGTGATATTGTTGTCCGTGGGAGAGTAGGACGCCAGTGACGCAAGCGGATCCGCCTTTAGCGAGGGTAGGATCGACAGGAGTAGGACGAGCAAAAGTAAGTAATAAGGATTTGGATACATCATGATTATTACGGAGATGTCGAGTGATCCGAGGAGAAATGCTTCAGAGAAACCAGCGCAAATGGAGCATGTCTGTGTGTGTTCCAGAATAATCCAAAAATGATTATGGTAGGTAACGATGCAATTGTGGGTATGGTCGCGCGTGCTTTAGTGGAAAATCCTACGACGAGGATACATGCGTGGTACTGAGCATCGAATCTGGTCCATTGGGAGGAATACAAGCATTGGGAGTAGGAGGATCGCGAACAGCAGCATAGGGATTACGAGCCTTGGGAATATTTCTCACGGATATATCGGAGAGGGAAAGAAAGTTGCTTTGCTATTGCCTTCCATGAATAACTCGGGAAGGAGCAGGTTCCCGCTTTTCATGAATGATCGGATTTCTCTGGGAATGCCATACACGTCACTTGGCGGAATTTTTTGGCGAAAGCGACAAAAGTATAGTCTCCACGCGAGTGAAGTTCGTCATTCCCTTCGTGCGGCTGCTAAAGTTGTCGCAAAAGTTACAGGTTTGACTAGATTGATCTCTGACAGAGCTGTGTTGTCGTAAATCTCGTTATTGAAATGCTCAATAAGAAAGTCATCGTCCTGAATTGGCTTTCATTTTCACGGATCCAGATAATGAATGCCACATTTTCACCGAACGGTACAGTATGTTTCCTCACGTCTACTCAACGGTTAAAGCGTTTAATATTCGGTTCCGTGAATTCACGTTTCAGGATGTCAGAATTTGATCACGTCCTTATGAATTCCTGAGCCTATCAGTAACCACAAGAATTCCTGCAAGACCAGTGAATTTTAGGAGGCGAGGCCACAGGATTCTGTGTCCTGCGGCTGCTTCGATAGCCAATAAAATCATATGACTTTCTGGTTGGTTTCTCGACCGACTTAGCCTCAACAGCTTCTCGCGGTAGGTTGTCTCCGTAATCAGAGAGCTGCAGGAGACCAATTACAGGGTCTAGCAAGGTCCTCGGGTTTTGAGAGTTCAGCTTCTTTGTGTCAGTGTCGGATTAGCCTCTCGGCTCCAATACCCTCTCATTGCACTACGTCCTCGTTTTAGAGTTGTTCTTCATGAATCTCCTAGTCTTTGTATAGGACACACTCAGGATCCTCCTCGTCATAACACTCAAAACATCCGTGAAACGTTCGAATTTTTCAAGACGAGCAGCGTTTGAGTGGGCCCTTTTAACGTCCGGAAGCTCCTCTGTCATCCCGATCTCCACTATTCAGACTTCCTGAGGACCAAAAACTTAATACCTTGTAGTTACTGGTACCGTCGCGATGCCTCCGAAAGGAGGCGGAGGGGGACGGGGGAGGGGAAGAGCCGCAGCAGGTGGCGGAAGAGGAGGGGGAGGAGGCGGACGCGTGGGGGGTCGAGCGGCGCAAGGGAAACCGCCGGGGGTTACTGGGAAGCAGTCAGTTCCTGCTCCCAGCGGAACAGGCGGAAAGTCAGACACATCTAAGAGAGTTGCGGCTGGAGCTTCTTCGGGTGTCTCCTCTGCTGGCCCTACGAGGGTGGAGGGAGGCGGGAATGCCAAGCCGGTGACGCTCATTAATGGAGGGTTGGGGAAGAACGCGTTCGAACGAGCCACGGAGGTTCGGTTAAGTCCCGAGGCTGAAGAGCAGCTTCGGATGCTGGTTGTTAAGGTGAGAGGAGTTTTTTCAAGAGCTGGAATTGGAAAGAGTTGCAGCTACTTTGGTTTAGTGCTATACCCATGTATGATCAGTGCTTTTGCCATGCTCCTTGCCCTTTTCTTCGGTTTTTGAGACGCAGAAGTCTGAAACTTCCATATTTCTTGTGTTCTGTTTGTTGTGACGGTTTGACATAATCATTCAGGCATACGATACCAAGAAAGGTGCGAACGGCAGCAGCGCCTTGGACGCTTCTCCTGCGTCCTCATCTTATTCCACAGACAGCCCTGCTGGTCCCATGACGGTACTTGAAGAAAAGACTGCCAACAGGCGCATATTATCTGCATACGAAACACTCTCTAGAGAGGGATTTACTGTAGAGCAGGTGGAGAATGCGCTCTCGTCACTCGTCCCCTCCTCGCTTTCTCTGGAAGCAGCTTTTGATTGGCTCTGCCTGCACTTGGCACCTCAGCAGCTGCCACGTCACTTCGCGTCTGCAGCTGCCACTGCCACGCTGGCACGAGGTGACGTGGAGGTGGTGCTGGCTGCTGCTGACGTGGAAGGGGAAGGACAGCGAGGAGGCGACGACGCATGGGGAGGAGATGGAGATGAGGACGGGGGAAGGGGGGGACGGTCGTTAGCAGAAGAAGCTGAGAGATTCAGGAAGATGGAAGAAGAGAGGAAAGCGAAAGAGGAGGCAGAAGAGAAGGAGAGAGAGAAGGAGAGGAAGAAGAAGCAAGCGGATTGGATCAAACGGTATGTGACTGAGTACGAGAGTGAGGAGGAGGAGAGTGAGGGTGAAGGGAAAGAGCAGGAGGGGGAGGACGGAGAGGAGGAGGATGACTGGGAGAAGGTAGCGGATAAGGGGGCTTCAGCTGGATCGACAGCAGGAAACGACTTGCTTAAGGGATCTCCTCTTTGGGAGGTGAGGCTTGGAAGGGTCCTTTCTTGCTTCGTTTCTAAGCTGTTACCTGCATTCGTGCTGTTTGCACAGTGTTCCTGTCTTGGCCTGTCACGCAGTATGTTTATTGCTATACTTGGTGCTGTTGTGTGTGCACTGCTCTGCTGTGCTCTGTTTGCAGGTTTGGGCTGATGCAAGGGAGAGAAGACGCAGAAAGGAGCTCAGGAAAAAGGTATTGGCTTCGACCTTCAGGTGTTCTCTCAGGTGTCTTTACACTCCGTCATCCTCCCTCACTCCCTTCTGTAACGAGAAGTATTGATTTTTTTCCCTATTTCCCCTTCCCCCACTGCCTCCCCCCCTTCCCCCCCCATCCCCCTCCCCCCGCTCTTCCTCCCCTTTCCTCCCGTTTTCTCTCACCAAAGGCATTCCGATGCCCCTCTCCCTCCCCCTGCCATTCTTCTCTGAACCTCAAGTCAAACCTTAAACCTTGGAGCTAAACCCGAAACCCCCCTCACCCCAGGCCCCAGCAGGCGGCCTGATCTGGGGAGGGCTAAGGAGGAAGCAGTACAGACAGAGGGACCCCCTTGGCCCAACCTTCCAATCGCCCCTGCAACCCCGTCTCTCCCTCACCCCAGGCCCCTGCAGAGCAGCGCGTGCAATCCTTGGCGGCTGATCTGGGGAGGGCCAAGGGCGAGGCGGCGAGGGCGAAAGGGTGCATGGACAAGGGCAGGCAAGCAGAGGCAGGCCTGCTGATCCGCGAGATCAAGGAGGAAGCTGCAGCGTACGGTATGTCTCATGCATTGCCACTGTATACGCGTAGGTGTGACTTCCACTTCGTCTGCGACTTTTGACATGTCACAAAAGGCAAGGGAGCATGGACAAGGGCAGGCAGGCAGAGGCAGGGCTGGTGATCCGCGAGATCAAGGAGGAGGCTGCAGCGTATGGTATGTTGGGCATTGCTGTTGCTGAGGGCGGTTCTCAAAGGTGCAGCTGGTTACTCCGAGTGCATCCTTGGAGAGCCTTTTTGAAGAGACTCAAAGGCCATCAATGTGCTTTTCTTATTCGTCTGCAGGTTATTCTGATTCGATGCTCGAAGAGGCGAGCCACCAGCAGCAGCAGCAGATTGGTCCAGGAGAGGAGGAGAACGAGGAAGAGGAGGGGGGTTTCGGGCTGTTTGGGGAAGAGGACGAGGAAGAGGAAGAGGAGGGGGCTGGTGGAGAGGGGAAAGTAGCGAGGGAAGGGAAAACAGCAGTTGGAGAAGGGGGAGGGGCAGGGGCAGTGGCAACAGGGAAGTCAGCAGAAAAGGAGGCAGAAGAGGAGGATGTGGGATTGGATGGGATGTCTCTCTTTGATGACGAGAGTGACGGGGGAGGGGTAGGGGAAGGTGGAAGAGGCGCAGCAGCAGCATTGCCTGAGTCTGTGTTGGCACTGCAGAGGAAGAGTGCGAGGGAGAGAGCATGGCAGCAGCAGCAGCAGCAGCAGATGTTGGCGGGTGGCAGGGGGAATGCAAAGGCAGGAGGGAAGGATAAGAAGGGGAAGAATGCTTCTGCTGCGGACATGCAACGGCAGCCCAAGGCTCTGCTGCAGCAGCACTGCCTTAAAGCCCTCTGGCCCGCTCCCAAGTTCACGAAGCTTCCAGGAAGCAGCGGCGCAGGGAAGTTTAGCTACTCGGTGACTGTGGTACGGCAGGGGGGGAGGGGAGGAGGGGGTAAGGGAGGAGGAGCGGGAGGGGGGAAGGGAGGGGGAGTGGGGGTAGGGCCAATCACGTTTCAGGTTTCCGCAGCAGAGGATGGGTTTGAGAGTGTGTCAGAGGCTCAAAACGCAGTGGCGCTTCTGGCACTGCACGCCCTGCTGCCCCACATGCCTCTGCACCATCAGCTTGTCTCCCCTTACCGAGAGCAGTGGCTGGAACTGGCAGAGAAAGCAGGTGAGTCGTGATACGAGGTAGCAGAGGATGGGTTTGAGAGTGTGTCAGATGCACAGAATGCGGTGGCCCTGCTGGCATTGCACGCCCTCCTGCCCCACATGCCGCTGCATCATCAGCTGGTCTCTCCGTACCGCGAGCAGTGGCTGGAACTAGCAGAGAAAGCAGGTGAACCTGTTGTGAGCGTCGGCATCAGAGGATGGGTTTGAGAGTGTGTCAGAGGCACAGAATGTAGTGGCGCTCTTGGCACTGCACGCCCTCCTGCCCCACATGCCGCTGCACCATCAGCTGGTCTCTCCTTACCGAGAGCAGTGGCTGGGGCTGGCAGAGAAAGCAGGTAAATCTATTTTGAGAAATCTTACAGTCTGTGTCTTGAGGTGACAGCACAAGACGCCATGGTTCTTCTGGCCATTCTTCATTTGGCTCTCCCCTATGGTTTCCTCTTGCATCGACTCAAATTCTCTTTGCTTCTCCCACGACTGACGCCCGGTGTGCTCCCCCAGATGCTGCAGAGACGAGCAGCAGCAGCACAGCCGCAGCAGCAGA